ATCGGTTCCAGCAGCGGCTGAATCTGGACGCCAGTTCCGACTTACATACAGATTCAACTTAAGAACAAGTCCCTATCTTGTACGTAACCCGGGGACTGCCTGTACTCCCCTTAGAAACATCTTAATCGTTTTTAGACTGAGTCAAGTTAAATTTTACTGCGACTTTCTGAAAGGAAGTGTGTGCAAGAGTCACATCTGCTTAAAGTCAAGTAAGCAGGGGGCTGACTCACCAGAGAAAACTTCTGTCTCTTGACCTATGCGGGGGAAGTTACTCACTGGTGTTAAAGAAGGATAGGAAGAATTCAAATTTGTCTTCTGTCAGATACTTCAATATCTAGGAATTCCCAATCACAGGAGCATCCCCACGAATATGAATTAAATCTATTCCTTTTTTAGCCAAATGTTAAAGTCAAGATCTTCTCTCACAATTCTATGAATAATCTTACCAAGCATCAAAATTGCTTTTAAGACAGCGAACACAGCTCCTACTTCAATGCTGTTGTGAGCAGCAGTTAAAAGGTGGCGGTCACAAGAAGAGCGAATTTCTGGAAATGACTTCCCTAAGAGTGGAGAAACAGGTATATGTAGCACTGTGTTATTCTCTACCAGCACAGATTTCTTCATAAGAACTTTTCTACAATGCATCAATAACTAATTAATGAGGTAAAGTGCTGTTTTGCATGAAGCTGTGGACCCAGTTGTCATTAATTAAAATTAATGGGTGTAAGTAGAAACAGCATGCTAACAGCAAAACAAGTTACAGTCATTTACAGCTAGTAAAATAAGTTTTGGATCCTGCCTTTGGGCAAGAGCCTTTAAAAGGTGTCACAAACATAAAATTCAATAATTTAAACTTGTAAGTTATCAAGGAAAGTAGAGTCTATTTTGGCTTCTGCTCTACAGGTTTATGAAATTCCTACAATTCTCTTCCACAACAAAGATTTATTTAAATCTAACAAAGTACATGTAAGGCTGATTCTGCATCACTGAAAATCCTGCCTTTGGGCAAGAGCCTTTAAAAGGTGTCACAAACATAAAATTCAATAATTTAAACTTGTAAGTTATCAAGGAAAGTAGAGTCTATTTTGGCTTCTGCTCTACAGGTTTATGAAATTCCTACAATTCTCTTCCACAACAAAGATTTATTTAAATCTAACAAAGTACATGTAAGGCTGATTCTGCATCACTGAAATAGGT